ACAAGCTAAACCCTGGTCGACGGATGAACGTGGCAAAATGGCGGCCTCTCCGAGCACATGTACAATGGGTCATCCGCTGACTCGCAGGAGTGAACTGGTCAACCCACCTATCCTTTAGGTCCGCTCCACTCTCCAAGTTCGTAGAGAACGAGGGGAGGTAGAGACCTTACAGGGTGCCAGAGGGGACTGCCGGGCACGGTAAGGCAGTGGAGAAGCTAGCAAGGACAGGAACCCCAGAGGGGTCTGCCAGGGAGGCTGCAACCGGCGGACTGAGCGGCGTAAGAGTGGTGCGGTCTCGAAAGAAGGAGCGGGAAGCACCCGAGTCAAGGGTGAAGGTGTGGAAGGCCTGAGCCGAGGTAGTAGCTGAGAGAGCAGACTCACCAGCACCTGGGGCAGCAGACGCACTAGCACCTGGGGTAGCAGACGCATTAGCACCTAGAGCAGTAGCCTCACCAGCACCTAGATCAGTGGCCTCAATGCCCGGGTTTGGCGGTACACACAGGTAACAGTCACCCTCAATGCTAGTAGTCACAGAATACATGGCAGCAAGGATAGCATCCTAGTCAAGATCAAAGATGGCAACCCCCGCCCTAGACAGATCTCCCCAGCGAGGGATCTCTGACGCCTCAGGGAACTGGTGACGCCACGCGTCCGTCAGGCGACTGAAGCAGCGCTGGGTGGAATGCGGGCCCCCGCACTGCTCACCAGCTCGGTCGTCGGTACGGAGGACGTAAGTGCAGGGACCACTACCCACACCGCGCTGACGCGCAGCGTACCACTCACGAAGCTGCTGAGGGGACAGTGTCACACCACGCTGCTGCTGCTGGCGGGGACCACCACCTGACCCACTCCTCTGCGCAGAGTCGCGACCCGCTCCACCACCGCTGTCGCCGCCGCCTCCGCCGCCTCCTCCACCTCCGCCTCCTCCGCCACCTCCGCCGCCTCCGCTCCCTCCGCTACCACCGCCGCCTCCTCCGCCTCCACCGCTACCGCCGCCGCCACCACCCCCGCCACCAATCCCACCACCACCCCCATTCCCTCCACACCTCCACCGCCCCCACTAGCCCCCCCAGCGCCCTTGCCCCCCCTGCCCTTGCCGGTGCGGCATCTCTCGCTAGGGACAGACGCAGTGCCGACCCCGTAGAAACCAACGAGGTCGGCAGCAGCAGCAGAAGCAACAGAGGGCAAGAGGGGGGAGGGGGAACACCCCTCAAAGATGGGGCTGCGAGGGTCACCACAAGAGGCTCCTACAGTGACTATGCTGTTCTCTGCTGCTAGGAGGCCCTTCTTGAGGAGGTCAACGGTGAGAGTGGTGGGGCAAACTGAGAAGAAGTGGTCCCTGACTACGCGGAGAGAGTCAGGGAGCCGGGTGACTATGTAGTAGAGTGCGATGTACATGGGGGGAGGGTTCTTGGCGAAGATTGAGCAGGAAGCGCAGCGCGGTAGCAAGTGTCACTAGTGCGGAGGTGCGTAATGAGGTCAGCGACTGTGGGAATGGCAGCTAGGTTAGGGAAGAGGTACAGTAGCATGAGGCGGCTCAGTGCAGCAGTGGCAGGGGAAGAGTAGCGTGCAACTACATCGTCGTACAAGGTCTGAGCACTCTTGTACTGGCTAAAGTGTGCACGCTCAGTGGTCGGTAAGTGGCGATGCACAGCAAGACGGGCAGCAGCATCGCGTGTCGCCCACTGTTAGCGAACAGTGCTGTCAGCTGTAGCAGGCGGGGCACGGGAGGCACTAGAGGTGAGGTCGAATAGAGAGAGGCCGTCTGCCCTATTGCACTGGAGGAACAGCTGGAGGTCATTGACCCAGACCTCAAAGTCAACAGCACGGCCCTTAGTGTCAAAGGTAAGAACACTGGGGGTAGTCATGACTGCAGAGGTCTAGCAAGGAGTGAGCTCACCAGTACGAGTAAGTAGGGCCGGGGCGCGTTGGTAGGACTGGTAGCGGCACAGCGGCTTGGCTGCTGGGCGGCTCGGCGCTCGGGTGCTGGGCGGCTCTGCGGCTCGGCTGCTGGGCGGCTCGGCTGTCGGGCGGCTCGGCGGGCCGGCTGCTGGGCGGCTCGGTGGCTCGGCTGCTGGGCGGCTCGGCGGCTAGGCGGCTCGGCTGCTGGGCGGCTCGGCGGCTTGGCTGCTGGGCAGCTCGGCGGCTCTGCTGCTGGGCGGCTCGGTAGAGGCGTCGTCTAGGCCGCGTAGGAGAGGTAGCGGGGCCGCGGAGGGGCGGCAACGAGGCCGCAAGAGGGCCGCGACTGGGGCCGCTAGAGGGTGGTGATGCGGCCGTGAGAGGGAGGCGACGGGCTCGTGATAGGCCGGCGACGGGGCCTCGAGAGGGCGGCGACGGGGCCGCGATAGGGCGGCGACAGGGCCGCGATAGGGCGGCGACAGGGCCGCGAGAGGGAGGCAACGGGGCTGCGATAGGGCGGCGACGGGGCCTTGAGAGGGCGGCGACGGGGCCGCGATTGGGCGGCGACAGGGCCGCGATAGGGTGGCGACGGGGCCGTAAGAGGGTGGCGACGGGGCGCGATAGGGCGGCGGCGGCGACAGGGCCGCAAGAGGGCGGCGACGGGGCCGCGATAGGGCAGCGACGGGGCCGCGATAGGGCTGCGACGGGGCCGCGTTAGGGCGGCGACGGGGCCACGATAGGGCGGCGACGGGGCCGTGGAGGAGGAGCCACTGAGGGCGGCGCGACGGGCCGCTGAGGGCGGCGCGACGGGCCGCTAGGAGGGCGGTGACGGGGTCGCGAGGGGCCGTGAGAGAGGGGGAGGGCTGCTGAGGGCGGCGCAACCGGTCGCGAAGGGGAGGGCGGCACACAGGGCGCGCCTCGGTCAGGAGCGACTCGATCTCAGGGCAGAAAAAAAAAATCGATGTTCAGTGGTGGGCCCTAGGAAGTTCCCACGAGGGAACCTGCTCTATACCATGTGAGAATTGAGGAATGGAATGAACTAGCAGAAAGCTGGGTACAAGTAGGAAACCCAAGGAAACTGTACCCCATAGTGTCTACCTCACAATAGCCTACACAAGCTATATAAAATGAGTTTGACACCCGTCGCCGGCCTTTCAGGCCCCTCGCAGCCCCCTTCACGGCCCCGTCGCCGCCCCTAGCAGCCCGTCGCCGCCCTTCCAAGCCCCTCGCGGCCCGTTCGCGGCCCCGTCGCCGCCCTTATCGGCCCCATCGTCGCCTCCAGCGGCCCCGTCGCCGCCCCTTGCGGCCCCGTCGCCGCCCCTAACGACCCCGTCGCCGACCTTTCAGGCCCCTCGCGGCCCCTTCGCGGCCCCATCGCCGCCCCTAGCGGCCCGACGCTGCCCTTCCAGGCCCCTCGCGGCCCCTTCGCTGCCCCGTCGCCGCCCCTATCGGCCCCGTCGCCGCCTCCAGCGGCCCCGTCGCCGCCCCGTCGCCGCCCCTTTTGGCCCTGCCCCAGCCCCGCCCCGGCCATGCTCCATCGCCTGTCGCGGCGCACCGGGGGCACGTGCACCGCCCCCCCCCCCTCTTTTCCCGTCGCCCGTCGCGGCTCCCTGGGGGGCCGCGGCGACCTAGGGGGGGGGGGGGGGGGCGAGCGTCGCCCCTTCTGCTGCTTGCTTTGCCTCCTCTGTCTCCCACTGCTGCAATTGCCGCTGAGGGGGGTGGGTGGGTGGGAGTCGACGGAGTGGTGCTAGGGGGTGGGGTGTGAGTGAACCTAGGGTGCAGCAGGGGGTGTGTGAAAGGGGGGTGCTGTGGGAGTAGAACTAGGGTTTGAGCAGGGGGTGTGTGTCGAGAGGTGTGGGGAAGCTGGAGGAGGTTGTGTGAAGGTAGCTGTCGTGTCGCCTGCAGTGCCTGTAGTCCGTCGCCCTTGCTTCGGTAGCTAGTGAGCCTGTTGCACCAGTCGCCAGTGGGTCCGTTGCTCCTGCCGCTCGTCTATAGCCACGGAGCCAGTTACCCCAGTAGTCCGTCGCCCTTGCTTCAGTAGCCACTGAGTCAGCCGCTCCTGTGCCCGTGCCTCTGCAGCTTCAGTTGTTGCCTCCCATCTTCTCTCCCTCCACAGTTCCCCCTCCTCCTCACTTGCTCGTTGTGATTAACTCTAGCTTTGCTCCCTATTGTGAACTCCTGCTCTATGCCTGCTTACTCATTGTGCTGATTACACCCCACTTTGGCTATGGGGGTGTGTTAGAATATTATAATTGTCTAGCCTGCAGTGGGGTACTCTATAGCGAGTACAACCCAATTAGGGTTTCCTATATGTATGTGTCAGGCATATATGCTATAGTCTGTGTAGGCTGTAGTGGGGCAGTTCATATGGGGTACAACACTTTAGGGTTTACTACTTGTACTCCTCATTCTGCTCAATGCATTCATCCTCGTTTCTCATCATGGTATCAAGCAGGTTCCCTAGCGGGAACGCTACCTAGGGCCCACCACGATATTTTTTTTTTTTCCTGCCCGTAGCGCGCTTCACTCCTGCCCGAGTCACGCTCTATGTGCCCCCCCTACCTTCGAGCCGCCCTTAGTGGCCCCTCTCACGACCCCTTTGGCCGCCCTTACGGCCCCTCGCGCCGCCCTTACGACCCCTCGCGCTGGCCTCTACGGCCCCTCGCGCCGCCCTTATGGCCCCTTAAGGCTCCTCGCGTCGCCCTTACGGCCCTCGCGCGGCCCCTTTCGGCCCCTCGCGGCGCCCTTTTCGGCTCGGATGCTGGGCGCCTCGGCTACTGGGCGGCCCGGCTCCTGAGCCGCCCAGCAGCCGAGCCGCCCAGCAACCGAGCCGCCAAGTAGCCGAGCCGCCCAGCAGCCGAGCCGCCCTGCCGCCGAGCCGCCCAGCAGCCGAGCCGCCCTGCCGTCGAGCTGCCCAGTAGCCGAGCCGCCCAGCAGCCGAGCCGCCCTGCCGCCGAGCCGCCCAGCAGCCAAGCCGCCCTGCCGCCGAGCCGCCGAGCCACCGAGCCGCCCTACTGTCGAGCAGCTGCTGTTCCTACCGGTGCTCCCCGGCCCTCCTTCCTCGGACTGGTGAGCTCACTTCCTGCTAGGCCACTGCAGTCATGGCTACCCCCAGTGTCCTTACTTTTGATGCTGAGGGCCGTGCTGCTGACTTTGAGGTCTGGGTCGATGACCTCCAGCTGTTTCTCCAGTGCAATAGGGCAGACGGACTCTCTCTGTTTGATCTCACCTCTGGTGTCTCTCCTGCCCCGCCTGCCACTAGTGACAGCACTGTTCGCTCACAGTGGGCCACACACGATGCTGCTACTCGCCTTGCTGTGCGTCGCCACTTACAGACCACTGAGCGTGCACACTTTAGCCAGTACAAGAGTGCTCAGACCTTGTACGACGATGTAGTTGCACGCTACTCTTCCCCTGCCACTGCTGCACTGAGCCGCCTCATGCTACCATACCTCTTCCCTGACCTTGCTGCCTTTCCCACAGTCGCTGACCTCATTACGCACCTCCGCACTAGTGACACTCGCTACCGCGCTGCGCTTCCTGCTGAGTTCTGCGCCAAGAACCCCCCCCCTCCCCCCCATGTACATCACCCTCTACTACATAGTCACCCGGCTCCCTGACTCTCTTCGCGTAGTCAGGGACCACTTCCTCTCAGTTTGCCCCACCACTCTCACCGTTGACCTCCTCGAGAAGGGCCTCCTAGCAGCAGAGAAGAGCATAGTCGCTGTAGGAGCCTCTCGTGGTGACCCTCGCACCCTCGTCTTTGAGGGGTATTCTCCCTCCCCCCTCTTACCCTCTGTTGCCTCTGCTTTGCGGCCGACCTCGTTGGTTTCGAGTCAGTCGGCGCTGCGTCTACCCCTAGCGCAAGACGCCGCACCGGCAAGAGCAAGGGGAGCAAGGGCGCTGAAGGGGCTGGCGGGGGCGGTGGAGGTGGTGGTGGAGGCAGTGGAGGGGGTGGGGGTGGTGGTGGGAATGGTGGCGGGGGTGGCGGCGGCAGCGGCAGCAGTGGAGGCGGAGGAGGCGGCGGTGGTGGCGGAGGGAGCAGAGGCAGCGGAGGTGGCGGAGGAGGCGGAGGTGGAGGAGGCGGCGGAGGCGGCGGTGGCAGCGGTGGCCATGATGGAGCAGGTCGCGACTCTGCGCAGAGGAGTGGCTCAGGTGGTGGTGCGCGCCAGCAGCAGCGGAGTGGTGTAACCCTGTCCCCTTAGGAGCTTCGTGAGTGGTACGCTGCGCGTCAGCGCGGTGGGGGTACTGGTCCCTACACTTACGTCCTCCGTACCAGCGACCGAGCTGGTGAGCAGTGCAGGGGCCCGCACTCCACCCAGCACTGCTTCGGTCGACTGACGGACGCGTGGCGTCGCCAGATCCCTGAGGCGTCAGAGATCCCTCGCTGGGGAGATCTGTTTAGGGCGGGGGTGGCTATCTTTGATCTTGACTATGATGCTATCCTTGCTGCCATGTATTTTGTGTCTACTAGTGTTGAGGGTGACTGTTACCTGCATGTACCGCTTGACCCGGGCATTGAGGCCACTGCTCTAGGTGCTGGTGAGGCTGCTGCCCTAGGTGCTAGTGCGTCTACTGCCCCAGGTGCTAGTGCGTCTGCTGCCCCAGGTGCTGGTGAGTCTGCTCTCTCAGGTACTATATCGGCTCAGGCCTTACACACCTTCACCCTTGACTTGGGTGCGTCACGCTCCTTCTTTCGAGATTGTACCACTCCTCCGCCGCTTAGTCGGCCGGTTGCAGTCTCCTTGGCGGACCCCTCTCGGGGTCCTGTCCTTGCTAGCTTCTCTACTGTCTTACCGTGCTTGGCAGCCCCCTCTGGCACCCTGTCAGGTCTCTACCACCCCTCGTTCTCTACGAACTTGGTGAGTGGAGCGGATCTATAGGATAGGGGGGTTGGCCAGTTCACTCCTGCAAGTCAGCGAGTGACCCACTGCACGTGTGCTCGGACGGGCCACTACTTGGCCACGTTCACCCGTCGGCCAGGGTTTAGCTTGTACACCCTTACTACAAAGTCTCCTCCGGCTACTGAGTCTGGCCAAGTAGCTGCGTGGAGTCAGATGTTTGCTGCACATCCAGGTCTGGTCCTGAGTCTGCTCATGTTGTCTACTGTCCCACCAGACTCTCCTCTGGCACCACCGCCTTGGTCACCCCTTCCTGCCTCGTCTCCGAGGCATGGCCTCCCATGTCCTTGTCTCTAGTCTCCCTTGGTCTCTCCCTCCCCTACCTCCGGGGCCTGGCCCTACCTGCGTCCCCTACGTCGAGGGGCTAGAGCGCGTAGTTGACGACTACTCGCGTTACATCACAATCTCCCCCTTGCGCAGCAAGGGTGACGTCACTGAGGTGTTGATCAATTGGATCCGCCAGCTCGTCTCCAGCTCAGGGAAGGCTTTGGCTCGGACTTTCCTGGCTAAGGGAGACCCGGATGCACCAGACATCCCGACTCCTCGATCATACGCTAAGGCGATCGAGAGTCCCTACTCCTCTCATAGGCAGTTGGCCATGGACGCAAAGATGGCTTCCTGGAAGTCCACAGGCACCTACGTTGACGAGGTTCCCCCACCTGGGGCGAACATTGTCCGTGGCATGTGAATCTTCAGGGTGAAGCGGCCGTCAGGTTCTCCGCCTATCTTCAAGACGCGTTACGTCGCTCGAGGCTTCAGTGAGCGGCAGGTAGTTGACTACTTTCAGACCTTCTCTCCCATCCCGAAGATGACCGCTCTTCGGGTGCTAGTGCACATAGCCGCTCAGCGCGACTACGAGCTGCACTCTCTTGACTTCAGTACGGCTTTCTTCTAGGGCAGCCTGTATGCGGAGATCTGGCTGCGCCGCCCACGTGGCTTCACTGGGTCGTTTCCTCCTGGTACCCAGTGGAGCCTCCGGCGGCCAGTCTACCTTCTCCGCCACGCGCCCCGTGAGTGGCACGACACACTAACACCTCTTTGCCGCTGTTCTACATCCTCGTGTACATCGACGACTTGGTCTTTGCCACTGCTGACATTGCTGGACTAGCCAACGTGAAGTCCGAGCTGCAGAAGAGACACACGTGCACAGACCTGGGTGAACTGCGCAGCTACCTTGGCTTGCAGATCACCCGCGACAGAACACAGCGCACCATTACCCTAACTCAGTCACACATGGTGCAGCAGGTCCTTCAGCGCTTCGGCTTCGCGTATTCCTCACCTCAGGCCACTCCTCTGTCTACTCGCCACTCGCTCTCAGCTCTGCCTTTGGATGAGTCCGTAGAGTCGAGTGGCCCATACCCAACAGTTGGGTACAAGTACTAACCCTAATCGGGTTGTACCCCATATGGGCTACCCCACTACAGCCTACACAAATGTATAAGCTATAATGTTCTAACACACCCCCATAGGCAAAGTGGGGGAGAACAAGTGGTCACAAGACCAGTCAAGCAAAGCAAAGCAAGCTCAGGGTGGATCACAAAGTCACCATACAGTCCTAGCACAAGAGTAAGGCCACAAGGCCAGTTCACATGATAGGTTATACATATAAAGGTAAACAAGCAAGTGCAGGTATAGAAAGAGGACAGTACACACAAGATCAAGAAGTGAGCAAGTGAGGCCAAGTAGGCACAAGACCTAGCAAAGTACGGAAGCGATGATGATCACAAGGCGAAAGGACGTTGGTGAAGATATCAGCAGTGTTGGCCTCAGAGGCCACGTAGGTGAGGCGGAGCTGACCACGCTGCTGCAGCTCACGAGCCAAGAAGTAGCGAAGAGCAATGTGCTTCGTTCTGTGCTCCAGTCTATGCTCCCGACACAAGGCCAGCATGGCCTTGTTGTCTACGTACAGAACTGGAGGAGAACGAGGCGCCTCTCTTAGGTCAGTCAGCAGGTAGGTGAGCCGGCGTAGCTCCTGTGCAGCCATGGCCCCTGCGTAGATCTCAGCCTCACAGCTGGAGCTGAGAACAGAAGACGAGCGGGTAGACCGCCACGAAACAGAGCCGGAGCCAAGGTTGAAGGTGTAACCCTGTGACGACCGCTGCAGAGCCTGGTCGTCAGCCCAAGAAGCGTCAGCGTGACCTTTGAGGACTACTCGACGTCGCCCTCCAAGCACTAGCCCCATGCCTGACGTACTGCACACGTAGCGCAACACCCTCTTCGCTGCAGCCATATGCTCTGGTCTGTCTCTCCCAGGAGCAACATAGCGTGCTAAGATGCTAAGACGGTATGCAAGGTCAGGTCGTGTGCAGGTCATGAGGTACATGAGGCAGCCAACAAGCTCTGGGTACGGGCCACTCGACTCTACGGACTCATCCAAAGGCAGAGCTGAGAGCGAGTGACCTACAGCCAGAGGAGTGGCCAGTGCTGAGGACCAGGTGAAGCCGAAGCGCTGAAGGACCTGCTGCACCATGTGTGACTGAGTCAGGGTAATGGTGCGGCGTGCTCTGTCCCGGGTGATCTGCAAGCCAAGGTAGCTGCGCAGTTCACCCAGGTCTGTGCACGTGTGTCTCTTCTGCAGCTCAGACTTCACGTGGGCGAGTCCAGAAGTGTGAGCAGTGGCAAAGACCAAGTCGTCGACGTACACGAGGATGTAGAACGGCGGCAAAGAGGTGTCGGTGCGCAGAAACAGCGACGGGTCGGCTGTAGAAGGAGCAAACCCAAGAGCCGCAAGTGTAGTCCTCAGTGTGTCGTGCCACTCACGGGGCGCGTGGCGGAGAAGGTAGACTGGCCGCCGGAGGCTCCACTGGGTACCAGAAGGAAATGACCCAGTGAAGCCAGGAGGGCGGCACAGCCAGATCTCCTCGTGCAGGCTGCCCTAAATGAAAGCAGTGCTGAAGTCAAGAGATTGAAGCTCATAGACGCGCTGAGCGGCTATGTGCAGAAGCACCCAAAGAGCGGTCATCTTCGGGGTGGGAGAGAAGGTCTGAAAGTAGTCAACTCCTTGCCGCTCTTTGAAGCCTCGAGCCACGTAACGCGCCTTGAAGACATGCGAAGAACCTGGCGGCCTCTTCACCCTTCAAATCCACATTCTAGTGACGATGTTCGCCCCAGGTGTGGGAACCTCGTCCACATAGGTGCCTGTGGACTTCCAGGAAGCCATCTCTGCGTCCATGGCCGAATGCCACTGTGAAGAGTAGGGAATCTCGATCGCCTCAGCGTACGATCGAGGAGTCTTTATGTCTGGTGCATCCGTGTCTCCCTCAAGGGCAATCAGCGTGGACACGAGATGGGGCAAAGCAGCCGCAAAGCACAGGAACTCCTCCTGCCTGTCCTCAAGGACGTCCGTGCTAAGAGCACACTCACCCTTGACGGATGGAGGACAGACTCAGACTCAGCAACGAGACTAGCAGCGTAGTCTAGAGGACAGCGAGCAGCAAAGTCGACAAGCTCAGCAACTAGGGCAGACGCAGGAGTGGACTCAAAGGAAGGGTCAGTGACAAAAGTAGCAAGAAGGCGCGTGACCAAAAGACTAGGAGCACGAAGGGAGTCAGACTCCGGGTCAGCAAGAGTAGGAAGAGAGGACTTTGGAGGAGACGGCAACGGGACACGCCGCTGAGCAGTGGAAGGACGCAGTGCCATACGGTGTGTGCCGGGGACCGCTGGAGGACGCGGACGCGCAGCACGACGACTCGTGCGAGCAGCATGAATAGGCGACGCAGGAGGAGACGCAGGCTCACAACGCTCAACAAGACCTCCAGTAGGACCAGTGTAGGGAGAAGGAGCAGGTAGCGGGGAGGCGGGCTGTAACTGTGACTGCGACGGGTTAGGCTGTGGACACTCTAAGGGAGGAGCAGGACCAGGAGAGGGCGGGAGACCAAGAACCTGCTCCAGGAGCGGAACGAAGTACGGTCTCTGCCGCGCAGCGTCTCTAGAACCAGCAAGGACGGCACCAATACCCCGAGCGGCAGCACCAGCGCCAGCTGCACCTCCAGCTCCAACAGCGCCAACTCCAGCACCCGCAAAAGCACCAGCGCCAGCAGCACCGCCAGCGCCAACACCCCCAGCAGCTCCAGCTCTAGCAGCACCAACTCCAGTAGGACCGTCAGCACTAGCAGCCTCAACAGCACCCTAGACGCACCAGCACCAGCAGAAACACTAGTGCCAACACCCCCAGCTGCTCCATCTCTAGCAGCAGTAGCACCGACAGCAGCTCTAGTAGGACCAACTCCACTAGCTCCAGTAGAACCCCCGGACTCAGCAGCACGTCTCCAGTGGCGGGCGAACCACTCGCACAGCTCCTGTGGAGAGAGCGGCTCCCGCCTCGACGAAGTACTGCCATCGGCCACACGAGCAAACCCAGCACCCCAGGCTCCGCACCCCTTGGCTCCGCACCCCCAGGCTCAGCACCCCTAGGCTCAGCACCCCCAGACTCAGCATACCCAGGCTCAGCACCCCCAGTCTCAGCACCCCCAGACTCAGCACCCCCAGACCCGGCACCCGCAGGCTCAGCACCTCTAGCAGTACTAGAGTCAACAGCACCCTCGACAGGCTCGATTGCATCTACCTGGGACACACCTGACGGGGCATGACCCTGAGGGGGAAGGGGGTCAACCTGGGGAGGACCTAGCGCAAGGAATAGCGGCGGCAGGGGGGGGGGGGGGCACAGTGCAATAGGGGAAGAGACGGTAGTAAAGCACCGACTCGTCAAAGGTGACGTTCTGGGAGGACAGAACACGGCGCGAGGTGGGGTGGTGAAACTGCCACCCAGGCGCGTCAGGGGGGAAGCCAAGGAAGATGCAAGGAACAGCACGGGGGGACAGCTTGTCCACAAACAAGTCGCGGACAAACGCCCGAGATCCCCAGACCCGAAACGCAGACACATCGCCAACCTTCCCAGTCCACCGTAAGGCGGGGGAGGTCTCTGGCAAGGAGACCCGGGGCTGAAGGTTGAGTTGATGCGCCGCACACTGAACCGCAAACGG